ATTTTTATTACTATAACTATTATTATTATTATTACCATCATCATTATTATTATAATTATTATTATTTTTATATTATTATTATTATTATTATTATTATTATTATTGACATTATTAACATTAGTATCATTACCATTGTCATTATTATTATCATAATTATTATTATTTTTATATTATTATTATTATTACTTTTATTGTCATTATTATTTTTAATATAATTATTATGACTATTATGATTATTATTATATTATCATTATATTATTATTAGTATTAGTATTATTATTATTATTATTATTATTATTATTATTATTATTATTGTTGTTGTCATTACCATTATTATTATTGTCATAAACATTATTATTATTATTATTATTATTATTATTATTATTATTATTATTATTATTATTATTATCAGTATTATTTTTGTTATCATTATTATGATTATTATTATTATATTATCATTATATTATTATTACCATTATTACTATTATTATTATTTTTATTGTCATTACCATTATAATTATTAATATTATTATTATTATCATTATTATTATTATCATTATTATTATTATTATTATTTTATTATTTTTTTTCTTATTATTATTATTATTATTGTTGTTGTTGTTGTTGTCATTACCATTATTATTATTGTCATTACCATTATTATTATTATTATTAATGTTAAAACCAGTTGTACTGCTTCATATTTTTCTGGACACAGTGCTATTTTTCATTTCAGGAGTCTTTACTGAATAGAATTTATTTTTTAAAACATGTAATTTATTGAAAACCTACATGTATTTACTGTCACTTTCATTTTAATTTAATACATCCTTGTAGAATAAAAGCACATATATTAATATTAAAACTTTTTTTTGGCCTCAGCGTTCAGATTATGTTGTCTGTAACCCATTGTTTTGTTGCAGCCCATTCTGTCTTGGCAGGAAGATGCACTGCAAACATTTGTCCACCCATAACTGAATATCACAGCGTAACATCATTAATTAATGCCATGCATGTCTAGTTCACGGCTTGTCGGTGTAATATAAGTCCATCTGTGCTTTGCATCTGTTGTCCTGGCGGCTAAACCCCGCTAACGCCCAAACCGTGGAAAGGTGAAATGTTTTTTTGGTGCGTGTTCAAGACAGCGCCTTCATAATGGAAAAACAAAGCGTAAACGGCGTTTCAGTCTCATTTAACGAGCATAACAGACATAAAGCCTGTTCATTCAGAACGCAAGTGACAGCTGCTGTGTTAATACCAAATGAGACGCTGTATTATTACTTTCCAGCAAAACTTCCAGCAGATTTTATTGATGCAGACACTTTTAGGCAAACAGTGAGCTGTAATGCACGGCTAATAAAGCAAACATTGACAGCCCACTTCTTTAGTGCCCGTGATTGTGTAAGTGTTTATTTTGCTCCACATTCACAAGCTTGTTCACGAGTGTTTTAAACCAAACCAATCAGCTCCCAGAAGAATTACTGATAAAAAAAATAATATGCAGAATATGCACATTATACAGAATTATTAGCCCTTCTGAATGCTTCCCCCCCAATTTGTTTAACAGAGAGAAGATTTTTTTTCAACACATTTCTAAACGTAAAAGTTTTAACAATTAAAATCCAAGAAAATTAAGGTGAGAGTATATAGTGGACAGTGCAGCGGTCAAGCATAAACATAGTTAACTTGAAAGCAAAACAAATATATAGTGTACTAATTTTATATAGAGCCCTATAGTGGACACGTTCAATGTAAATGTAGCCGGAGTAATGTATTTTAGATTCGTAAAAATGTAGACACAGCCCTCTATCGAATTTTTCATCTGAAACGTACAACAAAATATACCAGGAGTAATGTATTTCAGATTTGCATATGTAAACAGTGCCCGCTAGTGTATTTGTCATCTGAAACGTACAATAAAATGCACCTGGAGTAATCTATTTCAGATTTGCATATGTAAACAGTGCCCGCTAGTGGATTTGTCATCTGAAACGTACAATAAAATGCACCTGGAGTAATCTATTTCAGATTTGCATATGTAAACAGTGCCTGCTAGTGGATTTTTTTTATCTAAAACGTGCAACAAAATGCACCAGGAGTAATGTATTTCAGATTCACATGTATGTAAACAGTGCCCACTAGTGGATTTGTCATCTGAAACGTGCAAAAAATTGCGCCAGGAGTAATGTATTTCACAATTACATGTATGTAAACAGTCCCCCTAGTGAATTTATCATCCGAAACGTACAATAAAATTCACCAGGAGTAGTGTATTTCAGATTTGCATATGTAAATGATGCCCCCTAGTGAATTTGTCATCTGAAACGTACAATAAAATGCTCCAGGAGTAATTCAGATTTGCATATGTAAACGATGCCCCCCTAGTGGATTTCTCATCTAAAACGTGCAACAAAATGCACCAGGAGTAGTGTATTTCAGATTCACATGTATGTAAACAACGCCCTCTAGTGAATTTATCATCTGAAACGTACAATAAAATGCTCCAGGAGTAATGTATTTCAGATTTGCATATGTAAATGATGCCCCCTAGTGAATTTGTCATCTGAAACGTACAATAAAATGCTCCAGGAGTAATTCAGATTTGCATATGTAAACGATGCCCCCCTAGTGGATTTGTCATCTAAAACGTGCAACAAAATGCACCAGGAGTAGTGTATTTCAGATTTGCATATGTAAATGATGCCCCCTAGTGGATTTGTCATCTGAAACGTGCAAAAAAAATGCACCAAGAGTAATGTATTTCAATTTCACATGTATGTAAACAGCGCCCTCTAGTGAATTTGTCATCTGGAACGCGCAACAAAATGCACCAGGAGTAATGTATTTCAGATTCACAACAAATGTAGACAGCTCCCTCTAGTGAATTTTTTTATCTGAAACGTACAACAAAATGCACCAGGAGTAATGTATTTCAGATTCGCAACAATGTAGACAGCGCCATCTAACGAATTTGTCATCTAAAACATGCAACGAAATGTACCAGGAGTAATGTATTTCAGATTCACAACAATGTAGACAGCTCCCTCTAGTGAATTTTTTATCTGAAACGTACAACAAAATGTACCAGGAGTAATGTATTTCTGATTCGCATATATGTACACAGCAGCCTCTAACGAATTTGTCTTCTGAAACGTGCAACAAATTGTACTCGCAGCAACACATTTCAGATTTGCAAAAATAAAGACAGCGCCCTCTAGTGGATGTCATTTGAAACGTACAATAAAACGTACTCGGATTAACAAATTTCAGATCCGTAAAAATGTAGACAGTGCTCTCTAGTGGATGTCATTTGAAACGTACAACAGACAGTGCCTTGTAGTGTATTTGTCGTCTGAAACGTGCAACAATTTTAAATTTTTTTATTTTAAATTTAAGTTGAAGCAAGTATTGGCAAAGAGCCTGTGCTGTTTTTATGACATTAGTAGGCATGAGTTCTGTTTATTTTTTTATTCCCCAGCCTGTCTGAATACCTGCCGTCTGCATTGAGAGCTCCCAACAAGCAATTTTTAAACATTTTTCAAGTCCGACTCCACTGATGTGTATCTACTAACTCCACAGAGTGGTTTATTTGTCAGACAAAACAGCGAACAGCAATGGGGGAGTCCATAATATTGGCATTATGATTGACCTGTCAATCAAGCACCCAGCAAAGGGTGAACTCCTGGGTCTGTGGTTTCAGTGATATTGAGTTTTGCAGGATCATGTGAGTCTCACAGCTCATCACAGGTCTGTTTCAGATTTATTCAGAATATTATTTTAAAGTCTGTGAGAACAAGGCAGACTTCAGAATGAGGATGTACTTTCAACTGAACATATGATGTGTAACAATTCACATAATTACACTACCTCCTAAAAGTCTTTTGCCGTCTCATTCATTTACTCGAACTTCATCTTTGGTAAACTTCTTTGATGCAATCGACATTGTAAAAAAGCATTATAGAAATACAGATTGGATTGAGTAAGAATGATAAAGATTGAAAAAAAAATTAAGCAGAGTTTGATTTAAGACTCAGTTGAGAGATTATTTGAATATAAAACACTAAGACTCACCGCCGTCATGAGTGTGGAGATGTGTGCGCTGGTCTGTGCCATCAGAACGGCTGCCTCTATGCGGTTCAGACCCAGAGCTAATGGAAGCTAAAAAAAAAGACAACAACAAAACGTACGCTTAATAACAAAGTTCAGATTTGAAAAAATGTAGAGAGCACCCTCTAGTGGATTTGTCACCTGAAACGCAAAACAAAACATACCCTAAGTCAGTGGTTCTCAAACTGTGGTACGTGTACCACTAGTGGTACGCGGGCTTCCTTCTAGTGGTACACTGAGGAATGAAATATGTCACATACATGCTACATATAATTAAAAATTTATTAAAAATGATGTATATAATATGCCATATATTATATATAGGCTATATTTCTGAGGTAATCTGCCAGGTTTTTTAACTGTGCAGAGTTTTAGCTGCTTTTCTGGTCCAACTACGCTACGGTATTTCAATGCTGCTCATTTTGGTGGTACTTGGAAAGACAATGTTTTTCTAAGGCGGTACTTGATAGAAAAAAGTTTGAGAATCACTGCCCTAAGTAATGTATTTTAAACATCCTAAATAAAATATTTCAGAATCACTAAAAATGCACAGTGCCTTCCAGTGGAAATGTCATCTAAAACGTTCAACAATTTTTTTTATTTAGATTTGATTAATTTTGAGAAAGTGCCATCTAGTGGGTTTATAATCTGAAACATGCAACAAATTGTAGCCTAAATAACGCATTTTAAATTCGCAAAAATTAAGACACCACCCGCTTGTGGATTAATCATCTAAAACTTATAAGAAAATATAGACAGTGCTCGCTAGTGCATTTCTCATCTGAAACGTACTGCAAAACATACCCTAGATAACGTATTTCAGTTAATGCAGACAGTGCCCTCTAATGGATTTGTCATCTGAAACATACAACAAACCATACCCAGATATTTCATATTCGCAAAAATGTACATACCACCCTCTAGTGGATTTATCATCTAAAACGTACAACAAAATGTACCCTCAATAACCAATTTCAGATTTTAAAAAATGTAGACAGCACCCTCTAATGGATTTGTCATCTGAAATGTACAACAAAACACACCCTTAATAACGCATTTCAAATGTGCAAAAATGTAGACAGCGCCCTCTAGTTCATTTGTCATCTGAAACGCACAACAAAATATAACCTAAGTAACGTATATCGAATTAGCAAAAATATATTATATATAGCATCCTTTAGTGTGTTTATCATCTGAAACATGCAACAAAACGTAGCCTAAATAATGTGTCTTATTTGTAAAAATGTAGACAGCGCCCTCTAGAGGATTTGTCATGTGAAAAGCACAACAAACACAACCTAAGTAACGAATTTTAGTTTTGCAAACATGTAGACAACGCCCTCTAGTGAATTTATCATCTAAAACGCACAACAAAATGTACTCTAAGTAACATATTTCAGAAATCTAGACAGCGCCCTCTAGTGGATTTAACCCCTAAAATACACAAAAAACATACCCTTAATAACCAAAGGTATTTCAGTTTCTCAAACATGTAGTCAGCCTCTCTAGTTGATTTGTCATTGAAAACGTACAACAAAGCATTATCTAAATAACATATTTAAAATCCACAAAAATGCTGACAGCGCCCTCTAGTGCATTGGTCATCTAAAACATACAATAAATTGTACCCTGAGTAACAAATTTCCGTTTTGCTTAATATTAGACAGTGCACTCTAGTAAGTAACACATTTCAAAACCACGCACAACGTACAACAAAACACACCCTAAATAACGCATTTCAAATTCGCAAAAATGTAGACAACGCACAACAAAATATAACCTAAGTAACGTATATCAAATTTGCAAAAATAAAATATTTATAACACCCACTAACAGACTTATTATCTGAAACATACAACAAAACACCCTCTTAATAACGTATTTCAAATTCACAAAAATGTAGACAACGCCCTCTAGTGGATTTCTCATCTGAAACGCACAACAAAACATACCCTAATTACCGTATATCAAATTTACAAAAAATATATTATATATAGCACCCTCTAATGGACTTATCATCTGCAACGTACAACAAAACGCACCCTTAATAACGTATTTCAAATTCGCAAAAATGCCCTCTAGTCAGTTTGTCATCTGAAACGCACAACAAAACATACCCTAAGTAACATATTTCAGATTTGCAAATATATAGACAGCGCCCTCTAGTGTATTTGAAATCTAAAACCTACAACAAAGCATCCTCTAAATCAGTGGTCCCCAACCTTTTTATCACCACGGTTAACGGTTATCAATTTTACAACGGACCAGTGTGGGGGGGGGGTCCTCACGTGAACACAGCTGCTGCGCTCGTGCATCCAGGTTAATCATGAACAACTCAGTGCGCATGCGGTAGTTGCACCGCAGTCGTGGTCTGATTATGTTTCAATCAAGGTTTATATGCATCAAATACATAACATCTGTGCCAAACATCTTAACTGCCGAACATATTAACAATATTACAACCGTACAGCCGAATTAAATGTATGCATTGGCATGTGAAACTCCATATAGATACATATTGCAATGATTTGGGGTACTTAGCGATGCACGCACACATATATGCACAATCCTTAAATGCTTTGCTGATTTGGACTCTATAATACCCGTTTTATAACTTTAAACCACCACTGAGCTATATACTAGCGATATATCATTCTTCCCTCTCCGTGGTGGATGTTGGCATAGTCCATTTCACGTGAGATGGCGGGGGTGAGTGGAGGAAACCAAGTCGTGGGGGGAATATTTTCTACAGAAATAATTTATGATTTCTTATGTGGCCCGGTACCGATTGTTCCACGGACCGGTGGTTGGGGACCACTGCTCTAAATAACGAATTTAAAATCCACAAAAATGCAGACAGCGCCCTCTAGTGGATTGGACATCTGAAATGATGCAATGCAATGAAACGCACCCGAAGGAATGTATTTTACGCTTTGCAAAAAAAATGTGGGCACGAATTTCCAATGAGCCTTCTTTTTTTCTTGAGCTTAATTGCGTATTATATCGGTTCTCCCTCACGGAGCCAAAGATTAAGACGGTATTACTGAACTGAAACGAAGTAGGGCTGAATCTATAAAGATCATTAGATTTGCAGAGTTTATTCTGGGATGTCAGGCAGTTAAAACAAGCTTAATAAACTCCCATTCACTGGCCTCTTATCTCTGTGTCTGTCGCTCTGACCTTCACACACACTCAATAGCCATTACTGCAGAGGTAAAGCACTGTTCAGATCTGTGTGTGTGTGTGTGTTGAAGTATTTATCTGTGCAGGGGATTACGCTGCAAATGGGGTATGTGTGTGTTTGTGTGTGTCTCTGAGTGTGTGTGTGTGTATGTGTGTGAGTCTCAGTGAGTATAAGGGTTAATATATATGTGTATGTGTGTTTGTGTGTGTTAGTTTTAACCCCAAACTATCAGTTTTGACTTGTTTACGTGTGTCTAATAGAAACAGAAGAGTTTCACTCACTGCGTTCATGAGTTTGAGGTTGTCCAGATTCTGCACAAACACTCGTCTGGCTTGAAGAAGCTGATTGGCTGTCAGGGAGCATGTGATGTTCTGAAATTCTGCTTTCTGATTGGCTGAGCTGAACTCCAGGATGCGATCGACTGATGGACCGCAGAGCACAGAGCGCAGATCTCCATCAGCAGAGAGTGAAGGCAACTGTACATATGAATGAATGGGTGAGTGAGTGAATCAATGAATGAACAGCTCAGTTAATGAATGACTGAATGATTAATTTAATGAATGACTGACTGAGTGAGTGAATGACAGACTGTATGCACAATCAAATGAGTAAAAACTGAATTAATGAATGAATGAGTGAACAAATTAATTAAAAAACGAATATATGACTGCCTGAATTAATAATTTAATGAATAATTGAAGGAAGAGCGAGTGAATGACTGACTGAATGCATAATTGAATTAATGAATGACTGAGTGAATAATTTAATGAATGCCTCAGTGAGTGAGCGATAAAATAACTGACTGAATGTATAACTGAATGAATGAGTGAAAGAGTGAATGAATGAACGAACTAATAAATTATTCAATAGAGTGGATGAATGAGTGACTGACTGACTGAATAAATTAATGAATAAGTGAATTAATGACTGCCTGAGTTAATAATTTAATGAATGAATGACTGAATCAGTAAGTGAAGTGAATGATTGAGTGACTGAATGAATAAATAACTTAATTAACAAATGTTTGACTGTATGTATTATTTAATGAATGAGTGAAAAAAGAATGAATAAATGACTGAATAACTTAATAAACAACTAAATAAATGAATGACTGACTGAATGCATAATTGAATGAGTGAATGAATAAATGAATGAACGAAGGAGTGTATGTATGAATGAATGAATGAACGAACGTGTAACTGACTGAATGAATAACTGAATGAATGGATGGATGAGTGAGTAAATAAATTACTGAATAATAAACTGAATAATTGAATTAATTAATGAATGAGTAAATGAATAAGCGATTGACTGAAAAAAATAATTGAATGAATGACTGACTGAATCAATTTAATGAACGAATGAATGAGAGACTGGCTGAAATGAATGGATAACTGGATTATTGAATAACTGAATGAATGAATGAATGAATGAATTAATTAATTAATTAATTGATGATTAAAAGAATGGATGAATGAGTGAAAGACTGAGTTAGCATGAGTGAGCGAATAAGTTAGCGAATGACTGAAAGACTGAATGAATGATTACTGAATGAATGAATGAATGAATGAATGAGTGACTAACTGAATGAGTAAGTGAATAAACGAATGAATTGCTATACTAATACTGTTATTAAATACATCTGTTCGAATTCTCTGAAAGCCCTGTCTGACATCTATAATGTTAACATTTTAGACGTGTTTATTAGTGTAAACAGAAATGGGCTCATGAACATGTTTTAAGTGGTTTTGTGTGTTGCGTTTGTCATTCACTTGACATCTGCTTGACATTTAAATGGTGAATCCTGCTTTACTGTGAACGTTTTCATTAAGGGATATTGGATCTGCTCCAGTCTGCGGTAAAATATAAAGCGCTTCTTCATCTTTCTGACTTTCCATCTGCTTTAGATGATGTACCTGTCCGAGCCGAACCTTCACCCTCATCAGACTCGCCACTGTTGTGTTTGGCACCGAAAGGCTGTTCGTCAGATATTCTGAAAACGTCTCGTTGGTCTTCAGCAAATTGCGGAGGGGAATAGACTGACCTGAGAAAGAAATACAACAGACGCATTAAAGCACCGCTGCTCTCAGCAAACACAGGCTCTGTTCACACAGACTATAAATATAGATGACCAATGCTTTATAGTAATAAATAACCGATTAATTAATCAACCAACATCCAATCAAATCCAAAATCTAATCAACCAACATCCAACAAATGAAATCAATCAATCAATCAATCAATCAATCAATCAATCAATCAATCAATCAATCAATCAATCAATCAATCAATCAATCAATCCAGCAAACATCAAACTAATCAAATCAATCAAGCTACTAATTAAATCCAAAATTTAATCAACCAACATCCAACCAATAAAATCAGTCAATCAATCAATCAACATCCAACCAATAAAATCAGTCAATCAATCAATTATTCAACCAACATCCATTGAAATCAATCAACAAAACCAACGTCCAATCAAACCAAAACTCAAATATCCTATCTATCTATCTATCTATCTATCTATCTATCTATCTATCTATCTATCTATCTATCTATCTATCTATCTATCTATCTATCTATCTACCAACATCCAATCAATCAATCGATCGATCAATCAAATTAACCAACATCCAACCACTTAAATGAATTACCCAACCAACGTCCAATCAAATCAAAAATCAAATCAACCAACATCCAATCAATCAATCAATCAATCAATCAATCAATCAATCAATCAATCAATCAATCAATCAATCAATCAATCAATCAATCAATCAATCAATCAATTAACATATAACCAATCAA